TTCGCACTAACCTCCAGGTCAAATGAAAGAGGCAACCAGAAGGCACAACATGCTGACTTCTAGGCCCAGACGAAAAGCATGCCTACACAGATTCCAAGCCCAGTCGAAAGACACTCCCTCACTGCTTTCAACCCCTAGTCATAGGAGGCAAAAAAGGCAGATTGCATCTTGCACTGGTTCCAGGCCTAGTCGAAAGGAACAACATGCTAACTTCCATGCCCCAATCGAAAGGCATAACATGCTGACTTCCAGGTCCAGTCGAAAGGCATAACACGCTGACCCCCAGGCCTCAGTCGAAAGCCACGCCTTCACCCCTTCCAGGCCCGATCGAAGGAAGCCAGAAAGGGCAATATCGAAGGGTCTTCTGCCTCAATCGAAAGACCTTCATTTTTCTTGCTATTATTTCATTTTTTTCCTTTATATTTTCATGCACTTCAATATGGTTGTAATAGTGTAGGATTTTATCTTTCTGCATTTTAAAGACTAAATGCATGCAAATCAAACACACTATTCACACATGCACCCCTAGGTTAATTCCACTTGCTTCCTTATAAAAATGGTCATGTTATGCATGTGAGACGCCTTAGCAAAAACAATCAAAGTACAAGATCATAGTCCCTCGATGATGCTACGAATGTTGCCTTATAAATTATCTTAGTCCCTCAAGAGAAATGCTAAGATATCTCACAACATTGCTATCATGACTATACGATGACCCACGCCTGTCCCTTTACATCCAATGATGGTGCTTCTTACCAAATCAATGGTAAGATAGCAACATCTAAAGGAGGAGGAAAATAATGTTTAAGACCTTTTGAGTAGGTAGATTTCTCCTAGTTTCTTGCTTGCTCACAACAAAAATATTTTATACACCAACACTTTCATTTTGAAACACTTTCAAAAGACAAACACTTTGTATGCGTTCTTATAGAGACGAGAACCATTACAAAGACACCCTTTTCAAAATCACTTTCAAACACAAACACTTCTTTGAACTATTTTACAAATAACACTTTGTATGCGTTCTTATAGAGACGAGGACCATTACAAAGATGTTTTCAAAATACTTTCAAAACCCACACCACAAACACATTTTCAAACAAAAGCAAGTAATCTAGCAAGAAACTAAGAGCCCGTAGATAACTACGGATGAAAAGGGTGCTAATACCTTCCATTTTCATAACATACCCCCCGAACTCAAGAATTAAATCTCAAAAGGTCTTTCCTGTTCTTTTCAGTCTTTCCTTATTGGATAAAAGAAAAGTCGGTGGCGACTCTTGCTATCTGCAACAATTGCGATCAAACTCCAAACATCCCAAGTCAGTTCTCCCACCGTGTTACACTACCTCTATCTCTACCCTTACCAAATTGTTTATTTGATTCAACAACATTGACCATTCTTGTTCCATCTTCAGCTGAACTGTTACCATTAGATATTCCTTCACATATCTTTCTTTCTTGCTGCATCACCATGGAGAATACTTTGTTAATTTGAGGCAAAGGGTCCATTAACAGGACTTGAGACACTACTCCGTTATATTCTTCATTCAATCCAATCAAGACTTGAATAATTCTATCTTCAGCTCTATATGCACGACTATCTCTCATAGCTAAGCATGTATAAGTTATTCTACAGGTACAATTAGGCATAGGTCTATACTGATCAAATTCCTCCCATAGGCTTCTCAATTCAGTAAATCAATCCGAGACTTTGTTAGCACCTTGCTTCAAATTAGAAATCTCTTGATACAATTCTACCACTCATTTCCTATCACCTCTCATAAACCTATCTTTAAGATCGTTCCACATATTAATTACATTATCAATCAAAATAACACTCTGTGCAATTGATGGATTAATGGAATTGATAATCCAAGTGTGTACCAGATTATTATATCTCTGCCATGCTCTGTAATTGAGATCCCCAGCATCTGGTACTTCTATGGATCCATCAACAAATTGATACTTATTCTTCATAGCTAATGCTTGTTTCATCGTCATTGACCAAGCATGATAGTTTTCCCGTGATAACACCGGTGTTACACACATGGTTGATGAGTTTTCTGATGGATGAACATAATAAGGATCAAGTGTGTCAACAACTTGATTGTTACTATTGTTATTGTTATTGTTATTGTTTCTCGTCATGATGATGAAAATCGATCAATCAAACATGAATTTCAACGAAAGAATCAAACGCAAAATGAATGAAACAGATTCGAGAAGAATCGAAACAGAAAACAGATTCAAGAAGAATCAAAAGAGAATGACGAAAAAGGAAGATAAAAGAAGCAAGAAAGAAGATTACGAAGAAGCTGCTGCTGCCATGGATTACCAAGTAGAACTTATAGCAAGCAGCCGAAATAGAGCAGGTCCAACCTGCTTTGATACCATCTAAGCAATCATAAACTCCATTGATGAAGAGCTTGAGCAACCAAAGGAAAGAAGAAGAATAGAGATGAAGATGAAATTTTCATTCATGGTATATTAGAATCAGTTACAAACAATTTATATACTACAACCCAATGTAACTAACTTAACAACTAGAAATAGAACCAATGTTAATATGACATGTTTCACTACAAGTTGAACATGTGTTGATCATGTGCATATCTTATCTTTATTGTCTGTTACTTACATGATTTCTATTGTGCTTCAATTAAAGGTAATTCTACTCATTCTCCGCTTCATGATTCAGGTACAGTTCTATACCCTTTTCATAATGTATTATCTTATAATAAATCATGTCACAATCATCGGTGTTTCAATATTAAATTATCAACTTTATATGAACCTTCATCTTATTCTAAATCTATTGATAATCCAAACTGGAAGCAAGCCATCAATAAAGAGCTTGAATCCCATACACTAACTAATACTTGGGACTTGATCTCCCTTCCACCCAATAAAGTCCCAATTGGCTGCCAATGGATTTTTAAACTAATTTTTTGTAGCGAATGGAACTATTGAGCGCTATAAGGCACATTATGTAGCTAAGGGATTCAATTATATCGAAGGGATTGATTACTTAGACATATTTAGTCAGTTTGTGAAAATGAATACTATACGTCTTATTCTATCTTTGGTTTTTGCACCAATTAGACGTTAACACTATTTTTCTTCATGGAGACCTAGATGAAGAAGTATATATGAAAATTTCACCTGACCTAAAGGTTCCAAATAAGAATATTGTTTGTAAATTAAACAAGTCTATTTATGGCCTTAAACAAGCCAGTCAACAATGAAATCACAAGATCACTAATACTCTTATTTCACTAGGATATAATCAATCAATATCTTATTATTCTCTTTTTACCAAACTTGATAGTCATTCTTTTACTGTAGTGTTAGTTTATCTAGATAAATTTATGCTTGCAGGTAATGATCTGAATGTCATTTCTGAAATAAAACAAGTGTTAGATGAAAAATTCAGCACTAAAGATCTTGGTAATTTAAAATACTTCATGGGCTTTGAGGTTGCACGTAACTCACGAGGAATTACCATTTGTCAACAAAAGTACAACTTGGATGTTCTTCAGGATACAAGTCTCCTTGGCGCAAAATCGGCTCCTACGCCTATAGAACTAAATCACGATGCTCACCCTGAATCATACACTCCACTTTTTGATCCGACAAATTTCAGAAGTCTCATTCGTAAGCTTCTTTACTTAATGCATACTAGTCCTGACATAAGTTACTCCGTTTGCATGCTCAATTAATTTAAAATTCTCAAGTATATCAAGTCATCCCCTGCTCAAGGCCTTCTCTTCTGGAACTCTTATAAACAACAATCATAGGATTTACAGATTCTCACTAAGACGTGTGCCATGAAACAAGACGTTCTACTACCGACTTTTGCTTTTACTTAGGCACTTCTCTTATGTCATGGAAAGGAGAAAAACAACATGTTGTTTCAAGATCCTCCTCTGAAGTAGAATACAGGACATTGGCCAACGCTACTTGTGAGCCTCAATGGCTCTTTACTTTCTCAATGATCTTCACATACCCCGCCCAAAACCCATTTCTATATACTGTGACAACAACTCCGCCATTCACATTACGAACAATTAGGTCTTCCACGAAAGAACCAAACACATCGAAATGGATTGTCATGTAGTCTGTCACAAAATTCAATCCAACACTGTTAACCTTATGTCAATCCACTCATCTCAACATTCAACAAGTTCCTGATATATTTACCAAAGCACTCCATTCTGAGCAATTTACAGCTTTATCCAACAAACTAAGAATGTACAACATCCATTTCACTGTTTTTATTTGTTAATATTAGCAGTTAATTATGGTGAATTTGTAAGTAATTTTGTAAACTAATTGTTCCTATTATTTAGGAGAATTTTTTGTATATATAAGATGTACCGTCTGACATATGAGGCCGAGTTGAAATTCAATAATAATACCCTTTTTTTTCTTCTTTTCTCTCCCTCTTTTGCTTAATATTGCATTTGATGGGATGTGCATTACATGTGTTAACATTTCTCACTCAAATATTATTTCTGATTTCTCTCATTGACTTGTATGTTATAGTGATAATCTTGCACATTCAAAGTACACATCTATTAGAACATGACACAAATTTGCTATTTCACCTTTCATTTCTAGTTTCTAACCAATGAAGTGGTATTCTCTTGAACACTCATTTATCCTATTTATAAGAACATCTTAAAGCAATTTCTAGTTTCTAACCAATGAAGTGGTATTCTCTTGAACACTGATTTATCCTATTTATAAGAACATCTTAAAGCAATTTTTAGTTCCTAACCAATGAAGTGGTATTCTCTTGAACACTCATTTATCCCATTTATAAGAACATCTTAAAGCAATTGTAAGTTTAGAAAAATGAACTTCTCATTCTATTATTCATCTCAAGTGACGTGTACATATATACATGGCCTATTTAAAATTAGTTGTAATAGAAAGGAATAGTAAAACTGACTATGTTTAAACTAACATAACTACGGTTAACTAACACAAAAAAATCACTACCTATGTTGTGAAGAGCAAGAATCTTCATTTTCTTGAACAAGTACAAGGCTGTCATTTTCTTTGTCACAAATAGACAAAACTGTAGGAGTAGCCAAGAATGTTGGTTTCTCATTCCCTGTCATAATGACAAGGATTTTCTCTTCGTAGGCCTTGATGGGTTCCTTGGTTTGAGAGTCACTCTCTTTGTCTTGGTTGTTGCTACAATAAGAGCAAACTAGTGCCAATAACGCCAAGGCTATGAGACCTATAATGGCAGTTAGTCCTCCAAAGACATATGGGATTGGAGTGTGCCATAAAGAACTTGGGTTGGGATGTGTGTTTAGCATTGTGGGGGGTAGGCTCCTCATTTTCTCTTCTTTCTAATTTGTTCTAGCAAAACAAAGCTTTTTTTTTTGTTAGGAATAGGAAAGTTACTTAGGAGTAGTAAAGGTGAAGGAAAGAGAGTAGAGGATGTGAGCTTGAGAAAGATAAAATGAAGTAGGGTTTTTTATAATGGAAAACATCCATCAAGTGGAAGATTAATTGAAGAGACATTAGATAATAATAAGAGAGAAAGTGGATTCACCTCTTTGAATTGTAACTGTAGCCAACTTGTTAAATAAATTTGATTATCCACTTCTTGATTATGATGTTTTCTCATTACACAAATTTATTAGTAGTTGGAAATATTCTACCGTTTCTTCGTATATAATTAAAGAATATCATGTAGATAGTGCTCTTAGTATAAGAATCAATTGGGATCTCAGAGAAGGGAGAATACAAATGTTTGATATGTCTCCACCCCAAGAAGACAAGATGATGTAATGAGACAATTGCATTATCAAGAGTAGGGATCACAAAATAAAGTTTTTTTTTTTATATCACAATAATTCTTTGAGAATATAATAATGTTGATTTATATGATGAGAATATATAATGTTGATTTATATGATGAATTATGATGCTTTTTGTGAAATTAAAAGTTTATCTACAGTAAAGACATTTTTGCTTTTTGTGAAATTAAAAGTTTATTTATCTACATTAATTTTTTTTTTAAAATCTAGTAATAATATAAATTTTATTAAAAATAAAAAGTGTGAGATAAAGAACCCTAAAAAAAAAAATGTAAACATATGTACAATAAATAAGAGGAAAAATGTTGAGTACACATATTTTTCTTACCCAAGTCAATCAAAGAGGTCTATTATGCATGTCCACTATGAAAGAGAACAACTCTTCAATTTTTTATACTTTTAAAATTTGTTACATAGATTATAAATGATTTATAAGTAAACCTATTTTCTACCTAAGTTTTCCAATCTCTCTAACTTTCTCTAAACATGAGTCACATAAACTAAAGTTGTATGTTTAGAATGTTTCTCGATCCTCTTAAAAATACCTTCAAAAAAATTTCAAATTCCAAAAACATCAAGAAATTTCTACATGTGTCTTTATAACTAGAATTGCAACCTCTTCTCCTTGTCTTCTTCTCTTAACTAACAAAAGTGATAGACACGTATATTTATAACTAATAAAGTCCAACAAAACTAAAAGGTGCCTAAAACACGACTTAATACCAAACAAATTCGCGAAACAAAATGACTCATGGGACATATGATTCTCAAAGACGTATCGCTGAAGCTCAACCAACACCCACCCCATGACCATCATTGTGCCACCACTCTTATTGTGGATTGCTTGACTCTCATTGTCATCATCACACGCCACCATAAACATCCATCGTCATACCATCGCACTTTGTTGAGTGCCATACAATCACATCGCGGCTTTGAAACCACCCTTAATTGCCCCTGTTGACTCACTGAACTGCTGCTAGCGCAATTCTGGTGCCTCTGACCTTTGCCTTCAAACTTCAAGTTGTCTTATCGAGCCTTCATTGCTGATTTTTGCTAGCCCTTAAAGTATATTTTCTTATTTTATATCACTTGATAATTTAAGATATACTTCTATAAATTTCCACCTTGACTTTAAACCATTGACGATGGAAATTTATCCATCATCTTGCTTCTCTCACAAGGTTGAATCATCATTAAACAACCTTGATCAAATCCAATCGTTGATTGAACTTTAATCTTGCCATTTACATCCCCTTGTAGCCAACCACCTTTTCCTGCTTATATAGTCTATCAAGCCTACAAGTATGATTCTTCAACCATCTTTGTAAGAGTTAAAAAAATATTTATTTAATCAAATCGTGTTGTAATTCTAAATCAAGAGTTTCAAATCTCTTCTGACATTGTAATTGATATAAGCGTTGCAAGATGAGCTTGGGTAAAAGCTTGGCGTAAGGGGGTTGTTGGGATGATCCAATGATAAATGCTCGAGTGATAATGGAACTCGCAAGGAGAAACTCTTGGAGAGTAAAGTAACTTTCATGGTTTAAGGCCAATCCTATATAAATCTCGGTCTGCTCATTTTTACTCTAATATTTAATTTTTCTGTATTTTATCTTCCGCACTTTAATCTCCATTTCATCCTCTTTCTTTAAATCTGACAAAGCTAAAATTAATATTTTTCGTAAAAAAATTCAAAACCCTTAAAAGACAATTCACCCTATTTATGTTTGAAGTCATTTGGTCAACAAACTTGTCCCAGATCCAATAGTTTGTTCTTGTCATGGAAGTGTTCACTAGCAACATGCAATTAGTGCATTTAGTGTTTTTAAGTAGGGGTGGAAAAACGGGCCTGGCTCGTTGGGCGCCTATTTTGCCTGCACATTAGTGTGGAAAGGGCCAAAAATTTAGGCCCTCACTCTCTAATGTGTTTGCCTCGCCCCGTTTTCTTCGTGGGCTTTTGCGGGCACGAGTATTAACATAAAATTCTGCATTTTTAAGCTTAAAAGATGTAGTTCCCGTGAGATTTCTCCGCCCCACACTCACTTTTTTGCGGGACGGGCCTAGGTTTTAGGCCCTCATCCTCAACTATGACCGCCCCGCCCCATTTTTTGGGAGCTTTTATAGGGTGGCTCCAAACGGGGCCGGCATGCCCGTTTGCCACCCTTAATTTTATGAGTTGTTTAAAGTTTTAACTGAGTAATTAATGCATGCAACCACCCTTTCGCAAAGTATGCTTCTACATTTCTAAGAGAAAATGTACATTGTTCCAATTTTTGTTTTGTACAAAACTCGCTAAGCGGAACTTAACTCATGACAAAGTATGCTTAACGAGAAACTCTTATCTTTTGGCACACAAAGAGTTTTCAAAATTGTAACTAGTGGCTAATTCTAAATAAAATCGACCCTAAAAATAAAAATTTCAAAAATGGGTGAGATTACCTCCCATCAAGCGCTTTATTTAACGCCATTATCTTGACGGTTTTAATGCTAGGTTATACTAATAATATGGAAATATACCTCATGATATTTGATCCTTACCTTCAATAATGTCCAAGAGCATCCTCTAGGTCTTTATGAAGGGTATTCCTAAGATAATTGTTAGAACAAGATTGGTTCTGATTATATCTCAGAGTTTTGGTGATAACAATAAATTATATTTTATATATTTGATACTCTGATGAACGTATTTAACTGTTTCAGATAATGTTATGACAGAAGCATCTTGAAGTGCTGAGCTGAAAATAAATGAAGAAGTTCCTTGATGAAAGAACTATTTGTTTTAGCGCAAGTGCTGATGCTGATGCTGTCTCTGATAATGTTCTGACAGAAGCATCTTGACGTGCTGAGCTGAAAATAAATGAAGAAGTTCTTTGATGAAAGAACCATTTGTTTTAACTCAAGTGTTGATGCTGACTCTGGTAAGATAATTATTTAATTGCATCTTCTAACGCTTAGCAAGTTTCTGTATAAGCTATGTTTCAGAAGTTTCTTGAAAGCAAGTGTTGTTCAGAAGATATTTGAAAGCAAGTGTTGTTCAGAAGATATTTGAAACCAAGTGTTGTTCAGAAGATTATTGAAAGCAAGCGCTGATCAGAAGTACTTAGCAAGCAAATCGTTGTTTAGAAGATATGCAAGCATGTTCTGAATTCAAGACGTGAAGCCAAGTTCTGAAAGAATGCAAAAGCTAACAAGTCTTGTCAAGCTTCAGGAAACATGTCCTTACATAGTGCCGTTTGCTCATTAAATGCAAAGACGGCTACATGCACTCAAATGTCTACACTAGTGCATTGTAAAATGGAATAGTGCAAAGAAACACGCAAATATTTAATGCTCTCCATTTGAAGGCAGCAACGGTCATGTTTCTTCATGTTATATAAAGAAGAATATATATTGCAAGCCAACTAACGCTCAAACAAAATATTGCTGAAACACTGAAAGATTGAACAACTGAAGTTCTGAATAGAACTGAACAAATTCAAAAAGAAGCAAGAACAACGTGAAAGATTCTGGGCTCACAAATTCATTATTCATACACTTTGTGTTATAATATTCTTAGTGAAAAATCACAGTTGTGATATAGTTTTCTTAGAAGCAAACTTTGTTTCACTATCGGTAAAGATTTATATCTCGTAATTGTTCCTTGAGACACCAAGGTTGGTCAGATTTCTCAAGTAGACTAGGACTAGTTTAAGTCTTAGTGGTGTGAGTCACTTGTAAGGTTACTTGTGCATTGTTAGTCACAACAGTTGTTGTGTGATTGTAATCAGTTGATTATAGTGGACTAAGTCCTTGTTGAGAAAGGCGAAATCACCTTGGCGGGTGGACTGGAGTAGTTTGAGTTCAAATGAACTAGGATAAAAATAACCTTGTCTTTCCTTTATTGTTGTGCCTTTAAGAAAAAGAAAAAGAGAACTTATTCAACCCCCCCCCCCTTCTAAGTGTTTTCTCAACCTTCAATTGGTATCAGAGCTTGACTCTGAGTTCAACACTTAACCGTGTCAGGAAAAGATCCAGAAGAAAACACAAATGGCTACTGAGTAAAACAACAATAGTTACAACAAACCTCCTGTATTTGATGGAGAAGATTTTGATTATTGGAAAGATAGACTAGAAAGTTTATTTCTAGGTCATGATAGTGATTTATGGGATATAGTCTTGGATGGTTACACACATCTTACAGACTCAGAAGGAAACAAGATTGATAGGAAAAATATGGACAGACAACAAAAAGCTGATTTCAAAAATCATCATAGAGCTAGAAATATTTTTCTAAATGCTATCTCTAAAATGGAATATGAAAAAATCACTAATAGAGATACAACACATGATATGTTTGAGTCACTCAAAATGACTCGTGAAGGAAACGCTTAAGTGAAGGAGTCTAAAGCTCTGGCTCTCATCCAGAAGTATGAAGCCTTCAGAGTAGAAGAAACTGAATCTATAGAAGCAATGTTCTCAAGGTTTCAAACTCTGGTTGCTGGTCTGAGAGTTTTGAACAAGGGATACACTAA